CTGTGGGGAAATATGAGGTTCTGTCATAGCTTTGTTTTTTGTCAGCCTGTACTGAATAGGATCCTAGGATTGTTTTGGTTATTTTCTATGAGAGCACTGAAATATGGTTCTTGTAGCTTTCAGAGCCCATAGCTAGAGACACTATTCCCTCCATGCCCCTCAAATAACCTCTAAGTTTGTACTCCTCCTGCACTTCATTTTCCGAGCAGCCTTCTTTATTTATTTATTTAGTCATTTATTAGACGCTTTTATCCAAAGCGACTTACAAATGAGGACAACAGAAGCAATCAATTGTAGTATTAAAACAACTAAAAACAGATCCAAAACTAAAAGCTAAAACTTTATAAATACTACCGATACACATTTTAAAAATAAAGAGATTAAATAAAAATGACAAATGCATACAACAAAATTTAAAAACTTAACATTTAAATGAAAAACAAAAAATAAAGCTAAAAACAATTCTAAATATTAAAGAACAAATGGTATAAGAGTATAATAATGATTCTAACATAACACTAAGCCAAACACCAAAAAAACAACTACATATGTGTATGTACAGCCACACACACATACATATATACTGTATATGTACATACACATTTATAAATTCAATATATATATATTATTTCATTTCCATTTAGTTTGTTGAAGTATTGCGGTATACCGGTTCATACCGAATACCGGTGTTTATTTTTGTTATGATATGAATTTTTAAAATACAGCAATACCGGTGTATGTCGCTTAAACAACGTTCGGAAAGCGACACTGTTTGAAATAGGTCCCTTTTCACTGCTGCACTGTGGCGAGGGAACAGCTGTATGTGTTACTAAGCATGAAAGTTCCGAAACTGAAGCTGTAGAACTAATAGAACGTGATGACACAGAAGAACTCATCCACAATATCCACATTGACCGCCACAAATATCCACCGCCCCCTGTCATCAGCTCCCGCGTCTCTCACACACACACACACGAGCGCAACTTTAGCACTAGATTTAGCAACTTTCAGACCCTTTTAGCGGCTTTTTTCCATAGAATATTCATACTGACAAACCTAGCGACTTTTTTGGATAAACCT